GTGTGTGTGTGTGTGTGTGTGTGTGTGTGTGTGTGTGTGTGTGTGTGTGTGTGTGTGTGTGTGTGTGTGTGTGTGTGTGTGTGTGTGCGCGCTTGAAAGGGAAAACATTTGAAGGGCCACCACATTTATCTACCCAAGTACGAATGTGTTGTGGTCAGGATAAATCTCTTCCTCTCTCTCTCGCTCGCTCGCTCACTCTCTCTCTCGGGTCTCAGGGGGAAACCCCGGCTGTAACTGCACTAAGCACAATCACATGGTCCCATTCCCATACATAAGAACCCAATCCTCTCATCTGCACTGCACACACACACACAGAAACACACACCAACCTCAGCTCTTATCCGTAAGGAGAGAAAAAAACAAAACACCACTCCCCCCCCCTTTGGGATTCTGCCCATTAAGTTCTTCTTTACCATTTGTCTCCTTCTATTGACTTCCTTTCTCTGAAATCACTACAGCATCTACATTCAGCGCGGTGCCCCCGCTCGTATCTTACTCTTACCTTTAGTGAACACAGAGAATGTTTGTGAGGTACACACAAAAGCAGCAGAAAAAGGCTACGGGTACAGACGTGTTACTCTTAAGTCTCGCAGATTAGGGACGCCGCCCTGAACGACATCCTCGCCTCATTACGCCTCCGCTTGTCCCGTTCTACACACTTGAAATAATAATGCAAAAACAATGGCCGATTCATGTAACACAACAAAACAAAACAAAAAAGGTTCCAACTACACCCATTTGGTGCTTTGCTTCCACGGTTACTTTCTACCAGTTCATGACGCAGTTTAAGAGCTGCCGGTTCACAGGATGTGAAGTGCTTCATGATTTCACCACAGCTGCAGTTAACTTATTGTGTTTGTTTGGAAGAAGGCGAAGAAACGAGACGTGAGCTGGTTATAATCCGGGGGGGGGGGGGATGATGTCAGGTGTTTTATAGTGGAAAAATCTGTCCGCAAGGAGCGCTTAGCACAAGTTATGTTACATAGTTAGACATCAGAATTTCAAAAATGTATAATTGTTGCTCTTGCATCTTTTACTTTTTCCTCCATCTGTAACTCTGCTCTCCGGCCACTTTCAGGTTTTTACAACATCCACATACTTACTTCTTTATTTTCCTCGTGTGCATTTTGTGGCAGGAACACAACGAGTGATCCGATATAAAAAAGGTAAATAAAAAGACATTAGGTATCTCGAGCATGCTGATCTACACACCGAGCTGACCCTGTCATTAATTGGAGCTGAATACAACGGCTCAGTATCATATCAGCAGACTGGCCTCCAAAACGAAAACCAGGCGACAACCTCAGGCGTTGGAAAAATAAACCCAATGACCATGATTGACAGGTGAGCGCGATGTAACAGGGTTTAAAACCCGCCTCAGCTCCAGCTCTTAGCCTGTTGTTGTTTGGCTAAGAGTTAATGTGAGACAGACTTTCCAGCATGGGGACGGCCATCAACGGGGACCCCCGAAGCCCCCTGCAGTAACAGATGGATGGACACTCAGGCTTCAGCCATTAATATTTACACTCTACAAACACCGACACGCCGGTCGTGAGTCGTTTGAGGGAATGAAGGAACATTAACTTAAGGTGATTTGTCATTTAAAGTCAGCATACAACAACATTCTTTTATGATGATATAGCCTCCGTCAGAGCTGAACCGAAGGGTTTCTCTTTTCAATGTTTATCTGACCCTTTGGTCGACATTCTCTGGACTGCCGCCTACATTAGCTTAGGTTTGTTTGCTTTTTGTTAAGGGTTGGGATTCTTTCAGTATTCATTGGTCACAGGGTTATTTTTATCGAAGATGAATTCACTGGAAAAAGAGTTATTTTAATCCAAAAGCAAACAAACCACAAGTTACTAAAAAAAAAAAACAGGTCAAAAGATGTAGAGACGTGTTCGCATCCTTCACTATTCATGCTGCATACCGTCTGATACTAATGTAATTACAAACATAAATGCAATTTGTTGAAAAACACAGCTGCTGATCATTTGCTAGCTTTGGCTAAAACAACACTCTCCTCCAGCGTTGCCATGTTTTTCTTTGTAACTGTGAGAGAAGCAGTTCATATCGAGTAGCCTGTTGATGCTTTCCCAGAGACACAACAGACAGATCTCCATCATACTTATTTCTGTTTTTTTCAAACACTGACTGTCAAAATAGATCATAAAAGATGATCGACAGCATGAATTATCTTATTGTATGATGTCGTATATAACCTGAGCCAGGACATATTCAGCGTATATTAGATATGTCACATTTATATAAGGCTAATAGCTGGTGTTTTTTTATTTTTTAAAGGCTGTCACACTATTTGATACTCATTATCTACTGATTGGCACGTTCAGGATCCATATCAGAAGATCTCCTAAAAGAATGCTGTCAGATAATCTGCAGCCTTCAGCAGTAACAGCGAAGGCTATTCTCCTGCATCACCCCGAGGTGCAGCCACATTTCAGCGGGTCCAACCTCCGCTGTGCTCAGAGGCAGAAAAGGAAGGGGGAGAAGAACAGATGGCCTCAATCTGCATATGGAGGGCTCCGGCAGACCTCCAGTAGACAGAGGACCATTTTATAAACAACCAGTAAGACCTTATCGTGTTTAGATTGAACCTGTGTGTTGTTGCGGGAAAAGGACTGGAGAGGCTCAAAAAAATATATATACGTCTGTGCTGAGAGAGGCACCCCCCCTTTTTTTTTTTTTTTAAACCAAGGTCAACAAACTTTTTCCAACACAAAAAAGGGAGAAATGTAGACAGTCTGCTCCTGTAAGTGAGGTGGAAAAAGGAAACTTCAAAATGTAGAAAGTCGTAGATCCTCCTGGGAGGTGAAGTTGTGTTGGCTGCTGAACTCTGCTGTCAGGGAGGTCAGCCAACAACAACAGTTCATAAAAAAAAAAAAAAAAAAAAACACACACATGTAAACAAAGACAGCACCAGGGGCGACCTTGGCTGCTCCGCGGGGTCCTCGAGTGCCGGGTTCACACTGTTTATTGCGAGTAAAATGGGACCATTATGAACATAAGCAATTACTGGGTAATTATCATGTAACAGGGCTGTGTGGTGTTATTACAGGCGGGGGGGGGGGATCTCAGTTGAGTTTGGTTAACGTAATGTGTGGGGGGATTTGATATTAGGAGGAGGGGGGGGGGTGTCATAAAGCTAAATGACCTGCATCGTACGTTAGCTGTGATGATGTGTGTGTGTGTGTGTGTGTGTGTGTTTCAGTGGGTGGAGGATGAGAGTCCTGCGTAGGGGAGATGATGAGAAGGTCAGTGTGTGGGATGAATAAAATGCATCCCGTTTTATAGAAGGAGTGTTTAAGCTGACAATCCATGCTGGAATAGTGGTTGGGTCAATTCCACTTCAAGCGCACAAAAAATAAAATAAAATAAAATGCACACCCACATGCAGTTTCCACAGCCACGGGAGGGGACATCATCCCTGCGCTGTTGCTACACACTCCGAGAGACGGTATTTGCACGGTTTAAGAGTAAATCCAAACATCTAATCGCTCCTCCTGAAAGAAACATTTCCACGTTCCACCTCAGCCGCAAAAATCACATCAACTCGCTGCAATAAGCTGCGCCCTGGCCCGTCGCCTGCGATTCACCCATCAATCATCCCCCACGCCCCCCTGCTGTGAGCTGATTTCATCTCTGACAGTTTTTTCATGTGTGTGCACACGCGTGTGTGTGTGGACTCTGCCCGTGTGTCAAATTAACGCTTCATCAGAGTCCTGCCCTGGGAGCACTGCATTGCTTTACCAGACCTTCTGATATACCCTCCATGATCTAGATGACAAGTGCTGCATTGAACCCACGCTCTGCAATAACACCGAGAGAGCAGCTACAGAGGAATTTGAATGTCTTTAAACAACTGGAACTGAATCACTACTTCTGCAAAGCTACACGACTTCCTCAGAGGGGAAGTAAGTCAGCGTTTGTTCACACTCTCCAGCAAACCTCTCGTTCCCCTTTCGTCTCACCACAAACCTGTGTGCAACCGTGCAACACTACCTTTGATACAATCACAATGTTATTTCAAGACTTCAGTTACTAATAGCAGGAGCGCACATCACCGTGCAGAAAAAAAGTGACAGTAAAAAAAGGGGAAGCTCAGCATCTCAGCAGTTAATAACATATACTAGACGATCAACAGGAAAACACACACTCCTACGAGATTCATCCAAACACATGTTGGTTCACTTTACAGAGACTCTGCTTCTTTAATGGCCAAAATAAAAAAAAAACATGGAAACGATCCACCTCTCACACACCCTCTCATGTGATTCGAAGCAGCAGAGGGGATTGTCAAACAGACTCTGTGCAAATGCAGCAAATAGCAGCATCAGTCATTCACCAAGTGTGTCCAGGAGAGATGCTTTTACTCCAAACACTGAACCACAGCACACACAAACACTCCAGCAATTTCCCTCCCGAAAAAAGGGGGGGGGTCAGAAGTGTTCTGTCATCCCTTGCAGGGTCACAACTTTACCACCCTCCCGTGCACACATAGAAAATGTTTCTTGCTCTCGCAGCAATGACGGTGAGATTGTCCACATGCCTTCCAATGCCATTGCTCCCTGACCTGCATACTGCTGCAGCAACACCCCCCCCCCCCCGCCTCCAAAAAGCACCAGGCAGCGACAGTCAGCTCTGATCGAGCTTTTACACCCACCAGTGTTTGTGTGTCTATTTCCCCCTAAGCCGTTGCACATTTCCAAAGCTAAGTATCTTCACCTTGATCCCATAGCTTGTACATCTGTAACTTGTCTTAACAGCCACACCTCCTTACGAGACCTACATCTGGGCTTATTTCCCCCACACACACACACAAACACACACAAACACCGAGGCGACATCCAAGAGATGACCGCACATGCTGACACAAACTGTGCGCATTTTGGCGCAGCGTTATTTCAAGTTAATATTTGACCACTTTCAGGGGTTGTATCATTACATCATTCACGCAGTGCAAACAAACAGCGTACACTTACTGTGGTGTGGATGCAAGTTAATGGCCGTTGACAAGAATTTTCCGGAGTGGAGAGGCGGCGGATGACTCGCGCCCAAGTGGCCGGGCGAGGGAGGGATCCTCCCGGTCGCTGCTGCTGCTCCGAGTCGGTGAGACTCCATTGCGAGCCCGGCCAACAACGGAGGTGGTACGTGGACAGATCGGGGGGGTCCAAAATCTCTGCCATCCATTATACACGGAGGGGAAAGTTAGGAAAAGAAATAGTCCGCTCGGATAGGCCCCTTGTTCCGAAAAAAAAAAAGAAGAAGAGCCAATTCTGGCTATAATAATGTCTTTAGTTTCCTTGGCGTGTTGGGCTCCTTTTCAGCCATCCTGCTGACCTAAAAAATACAACAAGAAAAACATCGCTTGGTATACAATCAAAGGGCACACTGAGCAAACTGTTGGGGAAGTGCTTGTTTTCGGATTTCTCCTCTTTCCAGCGAAACAGGCGGTCCAAACGTGCAATGACGCAGTTTGGAAATGCACTTCAGAAACTGAACGATGCATACATGAGCTTGTCGACAGATGGATAATATATTGTGTTCTTACTGATGTATATCAAACTGCGTGACTAATGGGAGTTTTAACTTATATCCACAACACTGTTATCGAACATTTTTTTTTAGCGGACAAGCAGCAGCACTCCACCCCCCCCCTCTCTCTCTCTCTCTCCCCACACCGGGGCTCCTCTTCCCGGGGAAACACATGCAGGAGAGAGGGGCGGCCAGCTGCTCTGCCCCGGCCATCAAAACACCCTCTTGTCCCGCGATAGAAACGCATACCGTCCCAATTTGAATAACATTTTCTACATTTTCCGATTGCACAGCTGTTTGTTTGTTTTTTCTTCTTCAACCACAAACCAGCAATAGGTTTTTTTTTTCCGGTCGAGTCGCCCTGTAAGCCAATACACCACCTCACTGAAGGCGGCATCAAATATAAATTTCAAACGGGTTAAAAATAAATAAGGTTGCAAAAAGCCTGCATCATTCAGCAGCGGGGGTCAGCGGTGTTTTGTTCCCCTACGGAAGCGAATTTAAGTCCAAGCCTGCTACTACTTGGACATGGGGGGAGGCTGAAATCAAAACCTAAACATTTAACACTTCCACTCTTTAAAAACTAAAAAAAAAACACAATTTGTCCGCACCCAATCGAAGGTTTGACATCCGGTACCACGCTTTAAATAAGTAGTATTAAAAATACATTATAGTGTGTTATTGTAGGTTTAATCTGTAATAGCCTATCGTCTTGAACAAATGCGCCTAAAGCTGTTAAAATGTCGATTTTAATCATGGGTCTAAATACACCTGATTGTCAGCAAACGTTTTGCACACATCGATAACTTTGTGATATTATTATTATTATTTTTTTTTTTAGTAGCCTAACTTTAAGAAAATAACAACATTTGTGACTTTCTCCGTACGGGCAGGATTTAAAAATGATGTCATGTTGAGTCTATTTTTTCTTCTTCTTCTAACTACGCCCAAAATAGGAAGCATTTAAAAAAAACAATGTTTGTTCTTTGAATTATAGATAAAACAAGGCGAAAGTGTTGATAACCTTCAAAAAGCTGCAAGCACAAACACATGACTCGTGATATACAGGCGGGCGGGATGCGAAGAAAAGACCGCTTCAGTAATCACAATAAACCCATTTTCCTTCCAGTAAAACACACCGGACACAATGTTGCATTCAAGCCCTTCTGAATTAGACCTGGAGGGTTAGTTATAAAATCATCCTTTCCCCCCACCCACCACCACCCCACACCCCACTGGTGATCCATGCGGCACGGCAGCAGAGGAGCACGGCATTTCAGCCACGTTTCAAACTTTTCACGGTTCCATTCACGACACGCGAAAACTTTCTCAGCGGAAACGTCTGCAGAAAATGGACTTTTCACAGCGACAAGATCCCCGTAAAAATCCAAAGTAATGAACGAAATAATCTCCGCGCCCTTTTCGCAATTAAGTTTTTTTTTTTTATCCATATTTATGTTGAAAACGACCAACAACTTCGCGAATCTTGAGCTAATAAAAGTAGACAAACAAGGAAAAAAAAAAAAAAAAAAAGCATGCCGATCGCTTACTTCAAAGTGGAAAATCCTGAGGAGCAAGCGAAAAATATGTTTCTCAAAATCCGTCCTGGCTGTTCGGAGGACTTGGGTAGTCCATAGCAGGCTAGTCCGAAGGTAAACTGAGGGATAACTGGGGGGTTGGGGGGGAGAGAATCAGACCCTGACGCGTCCGTAAACTCTTCAGCAATGAAACGCAGCATTGTTTTGCAGGCCCCGCCCATCTCCCTCGCTACCGCCCAACCCAGGATGGTTTGCACAGCTGCTGTCTGATTGGCTGGACCAGCTGTCAATCAAAGTCCCCAGTATTAAATAGAAAAAAAAAAAAGAAATACTGGCCCCGCGCCAGTACTACAAAACCAATTATGGAGCAAGGAGGTTGAGCCGTTTCAAGGTCCCCTCTCCCTTCAAGACTTGAGTGATCAAAACAACAGTGGGTTTCTGTTTTTTTTTTTTTTTAGGAGGGACGATGTTGGTCGTGGTGGGGGCGAGTTTCAAGGCGAACCCCCCCCACCACCCCCCCTCTATTACCATTTTCATGCTTGTTATAATAGACGCTATATGATGGGGACATTTGTTTGGAAATACTGTGAGCTTACGTTTACAATTTCTCACGGGAAGCATTAGTCAAAACAGTCAAAATAAATTACTCTTTTATTTTTATTTCAACAGAAATTAACTTTATTGCAGATTTAAACATTTTTAAAAAAAAGTCAGTTTCTTAAGAACAATCTGTGTAATAATAACATTTTATCAGGCTGCTGTTTCCCCATTGGCAAGCCACAGAAAAAAACTGATGTAAGCCAATCTTAAGAGATAGCCTTCTGTTATGTTAAAGGACATAAAGCAATTAACAGACTGAACATAGGAAGGAACAAATAAGTTCAGCCCTGAAGAGTTTGAGTAAGTAAGTGTGCAGAATGTAGAATATTGTTTAAGCATAGTGAACTTTAATTCCATTAAATAAAATGGATTAGTCTTAATATTTTTTGAACTGGCTTAATCACTGAAAGCTATTACATCTGCCAGAAAACTATTTATATTTGTCGTGGGTCTTCATGACTGCTACAGTTCTTTCTGTAGGCCTATGTAAATGTCCCCAAGGACGATGAAGCTATACGCTGCATGTCTCCCAGTGTTCAGTCTGCCGGGAGTCTTAGCAGGGACGGACACAGATTTGCATAAGAAGAGAAGGGGAAAGTGGCGCACTCATTTAGTGCTTTTTTAGCTGAATCTCAGAGAGGAGGGGGGCGACCTTACGTGTGTGAACCACCAGATAGTAGCCTATGTGAGAACTAGGACCCTGATAGGCCCTCTCACATGACCTCCCCCCCCCCCCTTGGTGAACAGTATAGGCCTACTGTCTTACTCTCCTGGGTTTTTTTTAACGATTTACATTTCCCTTTGAGTCAAACCGCTCATAGTTAGAAAAAAAAAATGTTGATTAAAAAAAAAAAAAATCTGAGGCGGTTTCAAGCTCCCCCCCTCCCCATGTCACCCCCTCCTCCTTCGACGTCTCCAGCCCCTCCTTCTTCTTCCAGTGAGTCGGTTTCAAGGACGCCCTCCGGTAGGGGACAGAAAGCCTTCAAAGCGGAGAATAAAACCGCGGAAGGAGACGTAGGGAGGACGGTGTAGTTCCTTTCGAAGCTGCGGACAAAAGCGCACACGTTTGGCGGAAAAACTGACTCGCTGTGTGGTTTTCCGATGCTCCACGAAGCCCTCCATTAAAGTCGGTGGGTTGTTGTTTTTTTTTTTTTTATGTCGTTTTCAAACCTCAACCGTGCCACCGAGCCGAGCAGAGTGAAGAGGCCTCTCAGCGGCCGCCCTCACCCGGCTGACCTGTCTGACTAGACCCGGGGAGGGAATTACCAGGCGGAGATCAACGGCGAGGTCCCGTCCGAGGGGACCAAAGCGGCCCCTTTGTTCTCCAAATCGCTCCGACTGGGAATTCAGACAATGCCTTTTAGATTAGAGCTCTATTGTTGCTTTCTTTTCACCCCGCAGGCTGGAGGCAGGTTTCTTCTTCTGCTTGTTGTTTTTCTTGTCAAATGCCGCCGTGGTCGTGGGGGTTAAACCCACTTTGAGGGTTTTCCTGCTGTAGCTAGTGGTTGTGTTTTTGTGGCATTTTATTGAACAGATAAGACATGGACCCTTTATATAAAAAGGAAATAGTAGCCTTTTTAATTCCACTGTTAGTTAAAACTGTATAGACTAATTTTGAACTTTATTACATTTTGATTTTTTTTGCTAAATTAACTAAATAAGCCTTTTTTTTCAACCACATAACCACATATTTAGACTCACATCTGATAATATAACAGATACAGTCTGTTTATTTCTAGGTTATCCATGTCATGCCTTACAGCAGGAGCAGATGGGACCATTTGGTAGATAGTGTTTTTTTTATTTTTTATAGCCCATACACCAACTGCGCTGTTTGAGGATGGTCCAACTTGAAGCTCCAAGCTCGTCCTCTCTTTGGGACTGCAGTGGAAAAGTACAGAGATTTATAGCCTAAAGGCTGCTGAGTCAATATGAAACCACAGCCAATGTTTCATTACAGGAACATTGTTTTTTTTGTTTTTTTTTATTACTTGTTATCTGAGACTAGGTTTTGGCTCTTATCCTTGCCAGAACAACATGTCATCTCTGCTTTACCCTTAAATCCGCTCAGCATTCCCGAATATCCTTGTCGGGTTCGTTGGTTTATTTCTGTCCTTATCTTTTCAAGGATCAGGTAAATGATTTGATTTGGCGGGCAGACTGTGAAATGTTTGCCCACGGGGGATAGAGCGCAGGGACAGAATTGATTAGTCCAGCTGGGGGAGTTCAGTCCTCTCTGCAGAAGAAACCCATAAATAAATAAATACAGAGAGATGTTTGCAGCACAAGCACCCAATCCGACTCTTCAGCAATACCACAGTTTGCACATTGACATATGGGCTGGTACCAATAAAGCCTGAATGTATGTCCATCTTCACAGTCAAAAACATCCACTACAATATTCTTTTATGTGTTAACAGTCCAGTAATATGTGACCCCTCCCTATCTCTCCTCTCACACACACACACACACACACAGTGCCTGCATGCCCACAGGGTTAAATCATTTATCATACATTGTCTCATGCTCAGCATAACTACTGTATTGTTTTTATAATGCCTGCTTCAGTTACACAAACCCACAACATGATTGTGTAAGTATGCTAATTGCAATGTCATGTTTCCTGACAGAGGGAAACAAACACAGTGTAAATTTTTTTTTAAAAAAATGCAATAAACAAGTCTGACATCACCGCAAACATCAACCCCCTTGAACACACACACACACTCATAGACACACATGTACATACACAGAGCCCTCATGGGGTAGCTGTCAGTCATCACAGCGCCTTGCAGGGTTTATACGCAGAACACAGCTTGAGGTTGGGGGAGGAAAAAGCACAAGCGTGAACACCAATCCTGGCACTTAAACGACAGAATGCTACAGCATGAATGCACAGATTGTTGTTGATCATGATCAGCCCTGATATCCACACTTTTCATGGCCTATACAGTCAGTTCATTCTATTCACTGGGTGGCCACTTTCCCCGCATTAACTGTAGCAATAATGCCCTCCTGCAGCTCCATGTTGTGAGTCTCACTAAATTAGCAACTAAAAGACAATGGTGGGTGGAAGTTTGTAGAGACATTGTGCAATATTTCAAGTTAAGACAACATATTGGATAACTGCTAGCTCACATCACTATAGCTCATTAAGCTAATGAGTAAACAATGATGTTGTTTTGATACCTGATTGGCTACAGACAGGTACGTTACATCAGCTAAAGATTACATTCAACCAATAATATTCTTACTGTTAACTAGCAAACATGAATATTAGCTAGACGTGGTGAACCTCCAATCGTGTTGTGCATCACTTTCAAACAGTCATTTTGACTACAGATGTATTGAATACCAAGTCGGCTTTTGTGACTCGTTGACATGTTGGAATGAGATCATAAATAATGCTCGCTCACCGGCGAACAAAAGATAAGTTGGGACAGCGACCTCGTGCAATCAATCAGTTCCGAGCTAATGTTCCTGTTTTAGTCAACGTTTGACGTAGGCTAGGGTGTGGCACGACTTCTGTTGTATTGTGTGACAGTAAGCTACCGACAGCTAAGTAACAAAAGCCAACCAAGCATTCTACAAAGTCCTAACATTACGTTAAACTTTACTTTAATTAGCTAGCACAGTTGCGTAGATGTGGCACCGTAAAAGTAGTTTTGTATTCTAGTTTGAGCATGACACCAGAGAACAATGGTTCCCATGTCAATTTGGCAATGTGTTGGTTTCGTAATTCTGGGAATTTAAGAAAATTTGGTTGCACAATGTTTCATTTTGATCCAATTTATTGAATATGGTCGTATATTCCCATTCATTAAAAGTATAATATTTCATCAGTATAGCGGGACTTATACACCCCACATGAATAACATCATAAGTAGAATACATAAATATATGATTCAACCCAAATTTCCAGCTGATCTAACCTATTTCATAGCCTATAATCTGCTTTCACACATGCACAATACTCCTAGAAAAGTCCAGAATGTTTATGCATGCATGTGAGAACACAAACAGCCGACTTTTTCACTCCAGTTTTACCAAGAATTTTCCCCGCCTTGCACCCATAGGCAATTTTTCTGCTTGAAATCCAGTTGAGCCAATGTGAAAACACAGCAGGAACATGTGATGGTGGCGTTCTCCCTGCACGTAATGGAACTGCTTTTTTACAAGCTACAATAGTACTGTTATAAAAGCATAAAATGATCGTTGTTATAACATTGCTCTGTGTTGTTTTGTCTGCCTCTACTGCATCATTCTTTTAGGCCATGCCTTGCCGCCTGAGCTCAGGCTGCCAGAAAAATCCTTGGCAGGGATCATATTTTATGATACAATGGTTAATTCTGACCAATTCTACTGGCCATTTATGCAGCAATCTGTCAATCGGGGGAAAAACACTTCACATCTGCTGTCAATCAGTCAAAGAAGATTATATTCACAGAAAGAGAGGGTTTAGGGGGGTGCATCACCTCCAGTGAACATGTCACCCTAAGGAGAATGCAGATCACTCTGAGGCACACAGAAAAAGAGCTACTGTATAAATATGATCAATTATTCTCTGCTGG